TTTCCCTGTAATTTAGTTAAGGTTCCCCCATTTTCCACCTCCAGTACATCGCTATACTTTTCAGCTTTAATGTTAAATATGTCATTTTCTGTTGAAAGACAGTTTTCCTACTTTTAAATGCCACATATTTGTATTGTTATCACTAATCAAACAAGTCATACATGAACTAGCTGTTCACTTTGGGAAAACATTGTCAAGAGTAAAAAAGAATTTGTACTGGTCATTGGCCAACTGGACATAAATATGTCAAACCAGAAGGTAGTAGCTACCTGGCTTTCAAATAAGAACAGGCTGCTTTTGGAATGTGGAAGAGCTCTATTTGGTTAAACCCCTGAATTATCAGTAGCCATCTGAATTCTAATATGGTAATTATTTGATGCAAAAAACTTGAGAACTTTGTATCTAACTTCATCAATATCAGACCATCTTTACTGTTTGCTTTGAGGAAATAGGGTAGAATATTAGCCAGTATAACCTATTTATTTATAGCCAAACTCTTATTACTTTGATTTTTTAACAGTTTAGAAAGCATTTTTTTTTTGTTGCCCTTAATGCAGAGAAACTAATAGCAGATACCTTAAAAGCAACTGAGGCCAATAGGAAAAGGGGAACAGGTACTAGAGAAAAGGTTAGATCAAAAAGAATTAACCTAGAAGGCAACACACACGTGCAGGAAATTAATGTGTGTCAACTCCCTGTGTAGCTATCCTTATCTCAAGCAGCAAAAACCCTTGTTCCTTCCTATTATTGCTTATACTCTGTACAACAAAATTAGAAATAAGGGCAAAATAGTTTCTGCTGGGTATTGGGGGGGGAGAGGGAGGGGGTGGGGGAAGGGGGGGAGAAACGAACCAAGCCTTGTATGCACATATGAATAATAAAAGAAAAAGTAAAAAAAAAAAATGAAAAGCATTTTTTTAAAAGCAAATATTTTTATAAGGCAGGAAGATTATTTGGCTGAATTACATTAATGAAACATTTTGGCACATATAAAAGATTTCATCAAGCTATTACAGCCACCTCCAAAAAATTTTGGTTTCCATTTAAAATGTCAGCAATGTGGAAAAAATACCATCAATCAAATTGTATATCTCCTAACCGAAAAGTATAAAAAAAGGGGAAAAAATGAAATAATGAGTTTCTAGTGCATTTTTGGCTTCCTGTAAGGAATTCTGACTAAATCTGTGGTCAGTTATCTGTGGCCTTAAGATTGTATTTTTTTTTCTCTTTGTTCCATTGTATGTTTTCATCTTCACAGGAATAAGTACACTGAGCAATATTCCTAACTTTATGTTCCTCTAGCCAGACATTGGGAAGGCTTAAATTTTGTGAATGGGAAAAGTAAAAGATTTTTTTTTCTGAAGAAAATAGAAATATAACTTCACAACAAAGAAATATAAAACTGCATGTCATTATCCTTTTCTTCTCTCTCTAAAATTATTCTTAAGAACTTAGTGGAAACACAGACCTCCTTCATAGGAAACTTAAGTACTAAGTCCTTCTTAGGTGTTCAATCCAGGAAAAAAGTCTCTATGCAAGTTGCCAAAATAACTGGGACCCTTATCTATTAAAATTTAGCCCTTTTCCAAGAACTAAGTATGGAAAAGAAAGTGAATCTTACCTAACTATGTTGTCTGAGTTTTATAGGTAACTCTTCTCCCTTTCTCTACTGCTGTTTGCATCAGAGCTGTTTACCTTTGTTGTATGCCCAGTGTTCTAGCTCCAGCTCATGAGGACGTTCAGATCCAGTCCCCTCTGTGCTAAAACATGCACAGAATTGAGGGAGTCATTCATGTTTCAGTTATTAGCTACCTTTAGAAACATTCAGATTAATTACATTATGTACCTGCTACAGTGAAAAATATCTAAACCATATTAGAAAAACAAGGTTACGATGAAAATGCTTGGCAGTTTTTTGCCAGTATTTGTACAGCTCTATAATAAAATTATATGTGTATTGTGATAGAAATCATTCATACTAAAACTTCTGCAATATCTTCTCTAAGTTTCTCATCAATAGATTAAATATAGGTCATGCCACAGATCCCTGTAATAATATAACAATTCTGTGTACCTGTATTAGCTTTCTGTTACTGTGATAAAATACTTGAAATAATCAATTTATATTGAGGAAACGTTTATTTTATCTAATAGTTTTGGTTTCAGTTCATGGTCAGTTAGCCTTTTGCTTTTGGGCCTGTGGTATGTACATCATGAGTGGGAACATGTGGCAGAGTAGGCTGCTCTTCTCCTGGCAGCCAGAACACAAAGAGACAGGAAGGAGCCAAGGTCAAGGGCACACCCCAAATGACCTAACTTTGTTATAGTAGGCTCCACCCATTAAAGGTTCCACTAACACAATAGCGCCATAGACTGGAGACCAAACCATTAGCACATGGGTCTTTGGGGGATACTTACTCAAATTGTAGCAGCGAATATTACAAAACAGTTGGGTGAGCAGAGCCTAATTATATTCAGTTAAGATATGTGGAAGTATACCAAGAGAGATGAAGTTATTTGTGCAAAGTTAGGACTGTTTAAAGTAGCAACAGAAGTAAAACCTGAGTTTTCTGGTTTATACTCTTTGTACTCTATTGTAAACAAAAGGAATATTCTGCTTTATCTACAAATGAGAGTATCATTTCACTTTGAAGTTAGATAGGTACTCTTGTTGCCAAAGTGCCCTCAATCCAGAAAGCTTTTACTTTAGCTCAGGTGTGCAGATTGGTTGAGTGTAATCTAAAAGACTGACCCTATTTTTCTAATTTGCATACTCAAAATGATAGCTTTGATGATTTAAATAGTAAAGGAATTTTTATGGGGAGATAATACGTTCCTCTGACTCTTCCTCTTTTAACCAGGCAACCAGAAGTTACCAATTAAGGAAGAAGTGATATAAATGGAATACTAACTTCTCAGTATGATACAGGTCAGCAATGAAAAATGCAGTAAGCTTAGATCCTGCTGCCTCATCCTGTTGACTCTTTTTCTTCTACCTTATCTCTGCTGCCCAAGCCTTTTCATGGTATCCAAATCTCCACGAGGAACATCTCAGAATTCTAGGTCCCTTTCCCTTTCTTGGTTCCATTGTAACCAGTTTCTGGCCCTGCAGGGATGAATAGAGTTATAGGGTAGATGCTACAAACAAAGTGCAAGATACTTGGATCTGAAACATCTGGGGAAAGCCTCTATCAAGACACAGGATAGGCTTCTATTTGGAGGTAGATGAAATGTAGACTAAGGTATTGAACACAGTTTTACAAATCAAAATGACAATGTTTCAGGGATAGAGCATAGACCAGTGTGCTGCAGAGCTTCAATCTGCATGTCCTTGGGTGGTGGACAGATGAGTGGCAGTAATCTAATAGGAATACAGCATCTTCTGAAAAGTGATCACTAGAGATCGGCTTGGTAACGTTTGCAAAGTGCCTTACAAATTACTTACGGGTGCATAATCTCATTTTATCCTCATAGCAACCAAAGAGGAAGTAGGTATGAAGAATCTCCTTTACAGATCAGATTTAGAGAAGTTGTGATTGGTCCAAGTGATCTATTTGAAAATTTTAGTTTAGACTTGAACCCAAGACTTCTAATTTATGAAATAGCTTTGTTTCTCAAACAGGATGCGTTTTTATTCTTCCCTTCCTCTATCTTATCTCTCACAAAAATATGTGTCAGGCACTGTTCATGCATTGGATAAAAAAGTGGTGAACGGAACAGTCCTGTTCCCTACCTTTGGAGTTTTGTTGCGCTTCTTTGGATTGTGCTGATCAGTATTAATAGCCAATGCCACATGTAGCTATGTAGCACTTGAAATGCAGCTGGTCAGAATTGAGATGTTTATAACTAGAATACAGAACCAATGTAAAAATTTGTTTCTAATTAAGAATGTAAAATATGGCATAATTTTTATATGGGTTATATGTTGGCAATATTTAGGATTTATTGAATTTAATAAAATATATTAAAATTGATTAAAATTTTAATCAATTAAAATCATATTAAAATTTTATCAGTTTTAGTTTTGTTTTTAATGTCTGTGCTTTAGTGACTACTAGAAAATTTTGCACATACTACATGTATGCCTCACACATTTCCACTGGATAGCAAGTTGTGTGTGACCTAGGGAGATGGTTTCCTAGGGTACCTACTACCTTCTAGTACATCTATGGTTACCTTTTTTTTTTTAACATTGAAACATTTGGATCATTTGAAATTTGTACAATTTTTCTTCTAGATGTTTAACAAATTGACTAAACAGTATTTATTGGGTTGGTCATCTTTGATTAGAAAGTCTGTCTTTGTCATATGCCAATCCTTGTGTGTATTGTAACTGGAATTTGTCTTCTTTTCCATTGATCTTATCAATATTTGAACTAGTTTTGTATTTTCTATTTTTGAGATTTTAATATTCTTTCATGCCTGGTAGGGTTAGTGTTCCCTTCTAGAATTTTCTTGACTTTTGTTTTCCTTTGTTTTTAGTTACAAAAATTAGAATCAGTTTGTTTAATTTAAAATATACAAATAAACAGTTTTTTTGTGGTTAAGGTAAAATAATGAAAGAAATTGGCATCTCTGTGTATTGACTCTTCACATCTACGGAGGTGGTGTAGCTTTGCATTTGCTCAAGGCATAGTTCTTTAACATTTTTCTTATACAGGTCTTGCCCATTTTTTACATTTATTTTTATATAATTTCTTAAATATTATGCATATAACATTGTTTTACTACCCTGCAAGGTTACCAGCTTCTCTAATTCTTTGTAATAAAGTTTTTGATTGATAGTTTTGCTGATTTCTTTTTAATTTTTATACCTTTATTTTTTTTCTCTTGTATAATTCTGTTGGGTAAGTACCCATAGTAAATGCCAAGTAATAGTGGTGATAGTGAGTCCTTTTGTTTTATTGAATTTGATGTTTCTTTTAGAATATGATTCTGGTTTTTGATGTGAACCAGACATACTTTATTATAATAAAAGTTCATTTTTCTATTTTAACAATAGAAATTTTATAAATGTATGAAGATAGAACAATGAAGGCTGTTGAAAGTGTTCTAAGACGGGGACAGAAAGGGTAAGGGAGAATGATAAAAGGGGTGAATATAATTAAGATATATATATATTGTTGTAAGAACATATATAATTGTCACATGAATTCTCCTTCTACCTCTAATACATGCTAATAAAAAATGATTAGAAAAAGAATAAATATTTTATGCTGTAAAAAACCATGAATAGTTGTTAGATTTGGTTAAGTGCCTCCTCATGATCATGTCATTTTTTTCTTTTTAGATCTATTAAAATGATGAGCCTTATTAATTGATTTATTAATATTGAAGGGCATTTATGCTTCCATGGAAGAATCTTGTTCATGATAATTTACTGTATTTTCATTTCCTGCTGAATTTTGTTTATTAGTATTTAAGATTATAACTGAGATTAACTTGTATGTTGGTCTTGTTACAATGACTTCATGAAAAATAAGATATTTTTGAAGTTTTTCCACTCCAAATTGCACTATAGCAATTTAAATTTAAAGGAAGTTACTTGCCTTTTAAAAGTTTGGTTGAATCCCCCTGTGAGCTTATTGCCTTATTTGGAGGTTGGGTGATGGTTGTGATGGTGGATTGTTTTGCTGTTTTGGGAAGGGGGCAACTTTTTTTGTAAGTCTTACAGAAATGTATTTTAGATTTTTTTACTTTCTCCAAGATAGACATGTTAAGCATTTTTTTCTATAAAGCTGTTTGTACATGTATAGTTCTTTTGATATTTAGGAAGGGTTTGGTTTGTTTTTTATTTTTCTTGGTTACTTTTAAAATTATGCCTTTACATGATAACCTAGGTTCTTGAATTCTTTTGAGTGTGAGGGACAGTATTGGGGTTTGAACTCAAGACCTCAAGCTTGTTAGGCATACTCTTTGCCAGTTGAACCATGTCCCTAGTGCTTTTGCTTTTAGTTTGTTTTTTAGATAGGGTCTTGAGCATGTGACCAAGCTGGATTTAGACTGCAACCCTTCTACCTCCACCTCCTGAATAGTCCGTATTATCATTGTGTACCACGATGCATGGCTTGTTTCTGAGAGTCTCACTACTTTCTTTTTTCCTTGCACTGGCTTTGAACCACAATCTACCTATCTTCTGCCTCCTTACTAGCTGGGGCTTCAAGTGTACACCACTTAGAGTCTCTAATTCTTGAAATAGTACATATTGTTTTTCTTTAATGAATAAAGATAAGATTAATGAACTTTTTCTCCTTCTCTGCCATAATTAATAACATCATAAAAACTTTCTAAGTATACATGCACCTCTATTGCTTGATTTGTAAGTTTCAAATCATATCCAGATATTTCTAGTTGTAATGGATGAGGCGGGAGGTGAGGGCACTGTACCTTCACAATTGCTCTTAGCTTTTACCTGACACTGTTCTAAGATCCCGAATATGTTAACACATCTCACTATTAAATTAATGGAGTGAGCATTATCTTCACTTTTAAGAAAAATAAACTGGGATCAACATTTTTAAGTGCTTGCCTCCAGTTCTCACAGGGAATAGTGGTACTGCTATTTAGACTCAACATTTCCAGCCATGGAGTCTCTATTCTTGATCACTGTATTCTACCTATAATTAACATGATGATGCAGTTTTGGATACAGTAGGATAGGTTAAATTAAGGAAGACTGAAATCATGGATGGTTGTACAAGGGAATTAGAAGCATTTATATGTTATCCATGTGAGTGTAAAGTAGTTTGGTCTTTCTAGAAAATAATATGGCGGAACTATATTGTATAAAGAATTTCAGTTATCAAATTTACATATTTGTTTTAAAGAATGTTGGAAGATAATAGGTCCTTCATATCTGTATGCCTTGCAAACAGGCATTAAATGGCTGCCCCATTCCCGTTTTTCTGGAGTATCTTTCCAAGGAAGTTTGAGTAACAAACAATATTGGCATATAGAGATGGTGTGTCCTTTTAGATCAAATAGCTGGTTTGATTACTATCCAGTACATGATAGATCATGTTTCTCTTTGGAATAAAGGTTGTACAAATTTGTTTGCAGCTCCTTATAAAAGATTTTTGTTTCCTAAGCACAGGGCTCCTCAGCTATGATGCAAACCTATTGCCTGTGCATCATCCATCTCAGCCAGACCACATTACCTCTATATCCCTTTGGGCCAAGGAGGACTGGTATGAATATGAACCTTTTTCTGCTCACTGTGTCCTGACTAACAAGTCCTTTGTCTCTGATTTGGAGTGTCATGCCTGCTGCCACCATCCAGCACACTGTGTGGCAGGCTAAATTCTTAATTTTTAAGTAGTAAAAAAATGTAGTTATAATAGAGGTTATTATACTGTCTACTTTTGTGTATGCTTGAAATTTTCCGTAGTAGAAAATAAACAAAATATCACTAATTTATGTAGTTATTAAACAGTATCTCTCAGTCTTGGCTGCATATAGGTAACTTAAGACATACTGATGGTTGGATCATTACGCAGGTGGTTTGGAGTATGATTTAAGCATCAGGATTTTTAAGCTGTCTGGTGATTGTAATGTAGCTCATCTCCTTCCAGGCAACATAGACTAATTATACCTCAGATTTCTTTTCAAAAGGCAAATTTTACTTTATGTTTTTTCGTGAAACGTCTCTCAATAAAAAGTGAGACAATGCTAATAATTTTCCTTACGAAAATAGTTCTACTGAGGACCAAAGTAAAATAGTATAGGTCTACAGCTTAATGGTTTTTTTCATGTAGTAAAATGATAAAGTTTCAGTGATTTTAAGAAGTAACATATCCCTTTCAAATATTCATTAAGAGCAAACTTAAGATATGTAAAAAAGGATAATTTAAATATTTTGGCATTTTATAACTTCTTGAAAGTAATTCTTATTACTGATGAGTGGATCAAGAAAATGTGGTACTTGCACACAATGGAATTTTACTCAGCCATGAAGAAGAGTGAAATTCTAGCGTTTGCAGGTAAATGGATGGAACTGGAGAACATCATTCTGAGCGAGGTTAGCCAGGCTCAGAAGACCAAAAATCGTATGTTCTCCCTCATATGCGGACTTTAGATCTAGGGCAAATGCAGCAGTGTGGTTGGACTTGGATCACATGACAAGGGGAGAGCACATATGGGAGATATAGGAATAGGTGGATAACCCCAAACATGAAAGCGTTTGATGTCCCCACTCTAGAGGAACTAATACAGAAACCTTAAAGCGACAGAAGTCAACATGAGAAGGGGATCAGTAACCAGTGTAAAGATCAGTTAGAGATGAATCAACATGGGTTGTAAAACATGTACACGAAAGCAGTGCTAGGAATATTTCTGTATAGCTATCTTTAACTAGCAAAAATGCTTTGTCTTCCTTATTATGCTTTTCTTCAACAAAATTAGAGATAAGGACAGAACAGGTTCTGCCTGGAAGTGAGGCAGGGAGGGGACAGAGGATGGGGCAGGGGGACAGGGGGGAGAAATGACCCAAACAATGTATGCACATGTGAATAAATGAATAATTAAACAAAAAAGAAAATGTAAAAGAATATTTATGTATACAGAAGAAAACGATTAGTCATAGCTCTATTATCTGTGATAAATGATATCATTGTCCATCATTTGATTTTACTTTAGCATTTATTGTAAAAGTTTCAAGCACAAATGTAAGTATAGAAATATAAATCTCTGTATACTCATCACATTGTTTTAATAATTACTTAGTCATGGTCAATCTTATTTCCTCTGTATATCCTCCTCCATTTATTCTTAATCTCCCCACCATTGGATTATTTTGAAGCAAAATTTGTACACCATATCATTTTATCTATAATTATGTTAATTTGTATGAGAATAAATATTCTTGAGGTCATTAACGTTCTGTGTTGACTGAAAGAACATCCATATGCTACAACTCCCAAATCTGTAGTTGCCAAAGATAGTGTTGTGTTATAAAAGTGAAGAATCTGGCATATCTTTGTGTTGCAAAATGGTCTACTGTCAGGACTAAGACTTTCCTGAGACAGCAATTTCATCAGTTGACCTGATGAAACAAGTAGACCGAAATCTAAGAAACCTTGAGTTCCTACCATTAAATAGGTCTTCATTTGGAATATATTGAAGATTAGAATTACTCAGTGTTTTGTATTAAAATAACCTTAATTGGTCTCCTGTTTTCCTTTTGTTTAGAGCCAGTTAGTTTCTCAACAGATATGGTTGACTGAGTCATAGCATGTTTTGGTAAAAATTAATGTGAAGACACCGTGTTAGAAAGGATTTGAAGACATGGAAATCATTTAAGAAGGTACTCAAGCTTCATGACCTCAGCTGATAAAAAAATTGTTGTTTTGGACCAGGTGATGGTGGCTTACACTTACAATCCTAGCTACGCAGGAGGTAGAAGAGCTCAGGAAGATCATGGTTCGAAGCCAGACCTGGGCAAATAGTTCATGAGACCCTATCTAAAAAAAAAAAAAACCTCAACACAAAAAAAAACAGGTTGGTGGAGGGGCTCAAGCAGGGGACCACCTGCCTAGCAAGTGTGAGGCCCTGAGTTCAAACTCCAGTACCCCCCCCCCCAAAAAAAAAGTGGTGTTGGGGTTGGGAGAAAGGGTAAAATATAGCAATATTATTTATATTAACAATTAGCACAAGTCGTGAACTTTGCAATAGGTGTTAAAAGCAAGGGAATAATTAAATATGCCTTCAGTGTAGCTCTAGGTATGTAGCCCAATACTGTGCTCTTGACAGAAAGGGTGAAATGGAGAAAGGGAGGGATGTTAGAGGAAGAAATGGACTAATTTGTTTAATGTTAGTATTCTAGGTTTAAAGGCATACAGTGTATCCAAACAGGAATTTCTAGTAGGTCATAGAAATAGAGAACTAGAGTTCAGAGAACATAGGAAAGCCACACTTGAAGATTAGTTATGAACTTGTAAGGATAATTATGTTTTTATGGGGAATATTTAAGCAGGAGAGTGTGTGGCTAATAACCCATCCTTTCAGTCGTTCCAATGGATGAGAATAGGAATAGGAAAGAATTAGTCTAATTAATCTAATACATTCATACTATTAGACATGTTTGTCACAGGCATTTTGTATGAAAGAGAGTTTACTGCATGGATTGGGAGGCCCAACTCATTGCAAAGGAAATGCAATACCAGAGATGTATGCAAAGATTTGTGAAAGTAAAAACTTGAAAAGTGACTCATGGTGCTTGGAGTAGACTTCAAGTTTTTTCTTAGATATGTATGTTTTCTGTGAGCATAAGCTGGAGTGATATTTCTTGCAAAAGTAGAAGGCAAAGACAAGTGTGCTTTCTGTAGAGGTAAGGAGAAGGTATAGCTAAAGCGAAGAGTATAGAGTGAAGAGAATGTCAGATATTTGGTTCTGATATGTAAGAACTAGGAATCCTGTTGTGGATTCTGAGAAATGTTGGATTCATTACTGAAATGGAAGACAAAAACAGTTTAACTTTAATATAAATAAATAGAACAGGAAATGGAAAATTCACAGGTTTCTGTTCTGTTTAATCAAGCAAATACTCTCACAGTAACCTGAAATATATTCGTTTCTATTAATTTCTGTTCCTTTGTTTATATCAAAATGAATGTAACCAAAGTTAAGGGGGCAAACATTATATACACACATGTTTATTTGCTCAACTTATTATTAAGAGCTGGGATTCTTGTTGATTTGTTAAAAACATACAACAAAACATTTATATTCTAGTTGAGTAATTACCAAGAGATAGGACCAACTAAGGGGGTGGGTACATAGTTCAACTTTAGGATCTGGAAAGCCTTCTTGGAGGAGTGAAGACAATTGATTCTTACATGATACAAAAATATTAGGGTGTGTTGATTTGAGAAGGGAGCATGAGACTTGGGACAGTGACATACTGTGCTAACTAGCTACTAATATAAGGAAAGAAAAGGCAACATAGTGTATATTTCATTATATTTGAAGCTTCAGCTACAAAGTAGATGGGACAGGAAGTGAGCTTGTAGAGCAGGCTGGACTAGTGCTGTTGGACAATTCATGTACTAACTTAAGGGACTTGGGTTTTTATATAGAGGAGTAACCTGGCTAAATTTACATTCTAGAGACATGCCTCTTATAATTAGGTATGGAAGGAACTTGTTGGAAGATGTCCTGGAAAATAGGATGAGTTAGGTGACTTTTTCAGTAGTTCAGTCTTCACTATGTAAAAATATTATGAATAAGGATGAAGATACAGGGATGGATTTAAGAAACATTCAGCAAGTAAAATGGACAAGATTCACTAATAGGTCATTTTTGGAAATGTACAAGAGTGGGTGAAAGAAGGAGATGAGTGTTAGTTTTATCACTTGGTGAGTGGTTGTGCCTTCAGCTGCAACAATAAGTAGAAAAGAAGAGCATGTATATTAAGTAGAATGAATTATGTTATAGACCTTTTGAATTTAAGCTGCTAATTGGTTATCCAAGTAAAGATTTCTAGTAGACAGTTGGATATCAGAAGGTGGGATGAGAAGAATAATTTTGAAATCTAGATCTCAGAGCCATCAGCGTATAAATAACACCTAAACTCTAAAAGTGGGCATTTTCTTCAGTACCAGGATTATGATCATAATTGTTATGAATATGCTATGTGCTAAGCAAATAAACCTAAGAACCAAAATTTGAGATGAACTCTACTTAGTCTTGCTTAACTTGCTTGACTTTGAACTGACATGCTTTAAAAAAAAGCTATTAAACCAAACCACAATCTTTAATTTTATTTATTTATTTTTTTCTTTTATTATTCATATGTGCATACAAGGCTTGGGTCATTTCTCCCCCCTGCCCCCACCCCCTCCCTTACCACCCACTCCGCCCCCTCCCTTTCCCCCCCACCCCCTCAATACCCAGCAGAAACTATTTGCCCTTATTTCTAATTTTGTTGTAGAGAGAGTATAAGCCATAATAGGAAGGAACAAGGGTTTTTGCTGCTTGAGATAAGGATAGCTATACAGGGATTTGACTCACATTAATTTCCTGTGCGTGTGTGTTACCTTCTAGGTTAATTCTTTTTGATCTCACCTTTTCTCTAGTTCCTGGTCCCCTTTTCCTATTGGTGTCAGTTGCTTTTAAGGTATCTGCTTTAGTTTCTCTGTGTTAAGGGTACAAATGCTAGCTAATTTTTTAGGTGTCTTACCTATCCTCACCAAACCACAATCTTTTAAAACATCTTATATTTCTCTCCAAATTTTAATGCTAGGCAATCCATATAATGATTTTGGTAGTAAGAATAGTTTCTTTTTTTTTTTTTTTTCTGTTTTTGCTCAAGCACAAGTGACCTAGGGAAAAAAATTACTCCCAAATAAGTGTTCAGTTGCCATCCATCCAAAGGCTAACCAAACTGGATCATTGTATACTGTGTTTGGAAGGAAGACTCACAAAATGTTCTTTCTGTAGAGTCTAAGGCTTACTTACTTTTTAATGCTGTGGAAAATGTTTATCAGTTACTAATCAGAAGTCAGTGTGGTACATGTATAGAATAGTTTTCTAATAATAATTTTGGAAAGTGACACCTGTATGATGAATGCAAAAATAACAGAGAAGAAACTATAACATGGTGAATAAAGAAAACCATAGATATTTCAGTATTTTAAACTTTGCTTTTTATTTAATTTGAATTTCATTGCAAAAGCCAGAACTGACTAACAATGGCAAATAGTATCAAAATGCTTATATAAAAATTAAAATGTTTCAAGCACTGCTTTAAGCACTTTTCACAGCTTCATACCACCCTGGGAGAGGAATGCAGTTGTTAGACCCTTTTTCACATGAAGAAATGGAGATAGAGAATGAGCAAAAAACTTGCTCATTCTTTGCTGCTGTCTCTGCAAAGAATGCAGGAGCTGCTGTCTCTGCAGGCTGCCCTGCCCTCCCTCTTTCCTTCCCCCACACTTCCTCCCCCCTTATAGAAAAAAAAAACTTGCCCCAAATCACATAGCCAATAGTTGGCAAGGAAGGACGTCTGCCTTCAGAGTCTGTGGTAGACCTAAGTGGTCTATCTTAAGTGTCCATGGTACAACTGGGTAGTGTGCCCTTAGGGCCCTTAGTACAATCCATGATAAACTTGGGGAATGTGCCTTCATAGTCCATAGTATACGTGGTTAGTGTGCCTTCTTCATATTTCATGGCAGACCTCTGCAGTGTGCCTTTATATTCTGTGATGGAATGCACCTGGGTGCTCCTTTAAGAGTCTGTGGAATGTGATGGAATGCACCTGGGTGCTCCTTTAAGAGTCTGTGGAAGAGCCAGTTATTCATTCCCGAGTCCACGGTACATACGGAATCTATGATCTTAGCCCCAATCCTTGTTTAAATATTAGTGGATTCATTTATTAAATAGAGTATTTATGCCTTGTGAACTTTAAAAAATATGAGATGACAATATTCTTGCCCTTTAAAAACATGCAGTCTTTGGCATTGTTTTCCAAACAATTTGCATTGCCACACACCACATTGATTGTTTTGATTTATTTTATCCTTATTGCTGTATGGAGGTATATTAGCTTACATCCCTTTTATTTTAAAAATAAAGGGAATTAAAATAATTTTAATGATCTTTTTAGGTTAACTGTACCTTACAGTATGGACAAATTAGGTATAGGGATTACTAACTTTGGGAGATTTTATAAGGACTTCAATATGTAAGAGCATGTATGAATACATTGATCCTTATTTAATAAATACATTGTAAGTAGAAATAAATAGTCTTGCTTGCTATTAAAAGTTTTATTGTTAATACTTTTCAGTTTTAATTATAAAAGTAATATATAATTGCATGATGGAATATTTGGAAATAAAATATGAAAATCCATTAATCCAGCAGTTGTTATAACCTTAATAGTCTTGCTTCCTTATAGTCTTTTTCTATGTATCTTGTTTTATCTTGTAATAATAGTATATTTATAATCTTGTACTTTAAGAGGTTTTCAGGGTACTTTTCATATTATTAAGGATTTTAAAAATAAAAAGAATATTGTCTTTTGGATACACCCACATTTTTATATTCTGGGTTTGCTTTGCAAGCACACATATTGTAATTAAGAAGCATTTTTGTGTCATTCTGTTTATGTCTGTCCTTTCACTCACATCTTGTTTCTGTGCCTAGGGCTTTCCTTAGCTGGATATAGTCAAGCCCACTGATGCCCCCTACCTGTAGGCTCAGGTTTGCACAATACCTGAACCATTCTTACCTGAGTTCACCCTTATATCTTTAGCTGCAGACTTAGTAAGCCACTGATTGATATAAATTGGGTTAGTTTTATACACCTGAGACTTTTGGATTCATTCTCACAAATCTTTGATGCC